GCGTTCTACGCAGCCGTTCCAATACGCGTTGCAAACATGCGCTGGCACAGACGCTCTGGTTGCCATGCTTCGTACTGAACTTGAGCTGCGGCCACTAACAACGGTCGTGTCGCTTGACGGGCGCAGCGCGCACGACTGTATCTCTCGCAAAGCTTTTTTTGGCACAACTTCGGGAGGTGGCGCCAGCGCTCGTCCCGTTCCGGTTTTTTTACGGGAACCCCTCCACGTACGGCTGGTGAGATGATGCCCGGCTCCTCCGGAGGTATGTCAGGGCGAGGGATGTGAACAAGGGGACCCACTTGCGCCGTTTTTTTTTTTTTGAGGGTCGTTGGGGCAGAACGATGCGCTGGTCGGGGCTGCGTCTTCCCTCCAACCGCATGAGGAGCTCGCCGCCTTTTTTCATGATGTTTACGTCATCACCGTGTCGCGAGGAGCGCGGCGTGTGTTGGACACGGTTACTGGGGCCATCGCGGCGCACTGCGGCATCGCCGCAAATCTGGGCAACACGCAGGTGTTGCTGGCCAGGCGCGCGGCTCCCCGGGCCAGTCACGCCCTCCGCAGCACTGTGCCGCCTTCCCTGGCGGCGCCTTATGCTGAGGCGCGCGATGCAGCTTTGTGGTACGAAGGTCTCGCGTATGCGCGGGCTGTTGCAGCTCGGCTGCGGGGTTTTCTCCCGCGGCTTATTGGGCGGGTTGGGCTGATGCGCTCTCGGTCACACAGGCGCGTCGTGCCGGTTTCGCGGAAGCGCGGGTCGCCGAGCTCATTTCCCCGGCGCACGGGCCAGGCCGTCCCGGGTTGCAAGAAGCAGGCGGCCCGAGCTTGGCTGCAAGCGGAAGGCTGGGCGATCGTTGTTTTTTTGTGCAAGACTCGCACGGATGGCAGCTCGCGGCCAGCCTCAGCTCGTGGGCTTCCTCCGACGCTGGCGACGCCGCTGCCGGGGCGCCGCCGTCATGTGCGACGCCCCGCGGAACAGCTCGCGCCGCCTGTGCTCGCGGCGTGCGCTTGGGCCGGATGGTGGGCCTGCAGAAGCCCGACGGCGGAGTGCGCGGCCTGGTCATGAGCGACGTGTTCGGGCGCGTCGTGGCGCGGACGCTCGCGCAACAGCACGCGGGCGCCTTTTAAGCGGCTTGCGCGCCTTTCCAATCTGCGCTTCGGGCCCGGGCAGGCGCCGAATCCCTTGCCCGGGCAGTGCGCGCGGCCTGTGAAGTAGACGCGCGCACCACCGTGCTCAGTGTGGATGGGGTCGGGGTGTTTGACCACATCTCACGGGCCAGCATGTTGCACGGCCTGCGGTGCGATCCTCGCCTGGCAGCCCTCCTGCCGTTCGTGACCCAGTTCTACTCTGAGCCGAACACGTACCTCTTCAACGATGAGGACGGGGTCGCGCACGACATAACGCAGGCTGAAGGGGGCCAGCAGGGCGACCCGCTAATGCCGGCTCTGCATGCCCTCGGGCAGCACCCGGCGCTTCCCCAGGAGCACAGGGAGTTGCGCCCCGGCGAGGATCTCTATCTGGACGACGTCTACGGGACGTGCACGCCCGATCGCACCGCCACAGCGCATCCCGTTGGTGCCCCACCTGCAAAGTGCGTGGCGCATCCTCCTGTTCTGCGCACATCCGCGCAGCAACTACTTGCTGCGAGTGCTCCCGCCCGCCGAGACGGAGGGGCGCAAGCGGCTTGCTGCCAACCTCGCGCGGTGTCCCCGAAGCACCGTGGCTGGCTGGCGGGGAGTTCGTCCGCCAGCGCCGCCCACAGCGAACCCAGCTGTCCGCAACACCTCCTCTGCGTGCGCTGCCGCGCGCATCGATGGCGTGGAGTCGGCCCAGGACGCCCAGTACGCCGCGAAGCGAGACGCGGCTGCCGATCGGAGCCCGAAACCCCCGAACCGCAGAGGGAGCTGCGCACGCCTGGCTGCGAGCTGGCGCGGGTCACGGGCGAAGTCCGGGTCACCAAGCAGGTGCTGGAGGCGTTGCGTGACGGCGTTGTCGTGCGACTCCGCGTGCTGACTGCCTTCGAGACGCTTTTTACCGAACTCGATCCAGCGTCTCGGGCCTTTTTGGCTTCAGGACGACACGTTTCAATGTGTCTTGCTCCGTCGCCTGTGCCTGCCGCTGCCGCTGGAGCCTCGGGCATGCCGCTGCGGGGCTCCTTGAACCACTCGGTGACCACCGGACTGTTTGCCCCACCGCTGGCGTGCTCGTCCGCCGCTCGGGCCCGCTCGAGCGCGCCGTCGCCCGGGTTTGTCGCGAGGCTGGCGCGCACGTAGCGACCAAGGTTTTTCTTCGCGACCTCAACTTCGGCATGCCGTTGTCCGACGGGCGACGGCTCGAGGTTGTCGCGAACGGGCTTCCCGGTTTCGGCGGCGTGTAGGTAGCTGTCGACGCGACGCTTGTGAGCCCAGTGCAGCGCGATGGGCGCGCCGACGCCTCGCCCGGCCTCGCCCTGCGGGAGGCAACAGGCCACAAGCGCCGGAGCACCTACTCGGAGTTGCGGGGCGCGGCGCGGTGCTGCCTCGTTGTCGTCGCCCTCGAGGTTGGGGGGCGCTGGGGGGACGAGACGGAAACCTTCCTGCACCGCCTCGCGAGGGGCAAGGCCCTCGCCAGCCCCGAAGCCCAGCGCGGACAGGTTGCCGCCGCATGCGCGCGCCGTCGCGGTGCAGGGCGCGCTCGCGGCCAGCCTCAGCTCGCTTCCCCCCGACGCTGGCGACGCCGCTGCTCGCCGCCGCAGGGCGACGTGTTTCAAACCAGCTGGATTGAAAAAGGCGCGTGAGAAAACAATAATCCAAAACGGGTGGCTGACGGCAATCCCGGCTGATGCGTCTACCACGTTGACGCCGTGTTCCATGCAAGTTGCGCTGCGGCGCCGGCTGCGGCTGCCCCTACCCCCATTGCTCCCAACCGGTGTCGCGGCGAAGGGCCCGGCTGTGGAGGCATCGCTGATCTTGCCCTTGCCCATCTCCACTACCTCGTGCGGGGAGGCACGTGATGACAATTTCCCCCGGCGTCCCACGAAGGCCGCCCACAAAACTGGCAGACGAAGGGCAGCAATTTGGGCGCCCCGCGCCCCGACTTCAACGTCCCGGGCCCTCACTTTCGTGTTGTGGCCCTGCGCCGCCTGCGTGTGCTTCAGCGAGCGAGTGTGCTCCAGCCGGGGCGCGCTGGATGCTTTGGGGGACCACCGTGCGGCGCGCGCGCGCGCTGGCGTGTTAGAGCCCTGCAGTGTGCCTCGATGCTCCGGTGCTGGACGACCGCCGCCTGGAGGTTGTAGCCAACGCCCTGCCCATCTGGGGCGGTGTGCAGGTCGCTGTGGACACCACCCTTGTTAGCCCAGTCCGAGCTGACGGCGCTCCGCGGCCGGGGGCTGACCGTGAACCCGTGCGTGTGGACAGACCTGTGCGTCCCGAACTCGCACACCCACTTGTGCTTCCTCGCGCGCGTACGGGGCGGGCATGCGAGTGGACGTACGAGTGAGTGGACGAGCAAGTGGACGAGTGAGTGGACGCGTGAGTGGACGAGTGAGTGTGCGATCAGTGACTGGCTGATGAGTTTCCAAGCGCTTCCTGCATGGACTTGATCCCTAAAATCGTTTTGAGAACAGAACATGACATATGATAAACGAGGATAAGAGATGCTAGCTCTTGGTTGGCCGTTCCTTAGATTTGATATTAAGGCTTGCTTGCTTGCTTGCTTGCTTGCTTGCTTGCTTGCTTGCTTGCTTGCTTGCTTGCTTGCTTGCTTGCTTGCTTGCTTGCTTGCTTGCTTGCTTGCTTGCTTGCTTGCTTGCTTGCTTGCTTGCTTGCTTGCTTGCTTGCTTGCTTGCTTGCTTGCTCCGGCTCTTGCTCTTGCTCGTGCTCTTGCTCTTGCTCTTGCTCTTGCTCTTGCTCTTGTTTTTGCGCTCTGTTGCTCTCTCTTGCTCTCTCTGGCTCTCTCTTGCTCTCTCTTGCCCTTGCTCTTGTTCTGGCTCTGGCTCTGGCTCTTGCTCTTTCTCTCGCTCTCGCTGTCGCTCTTGCTCTCGCTGTCGCTCTCGCTCTCGCTCTCGCTCTTGCTCTCGCTCTCGCTCTTGCTCTTGCTCTGGCTCTGGCTCTGGCTCTTGCTCTTGCTCTTGCTCTTGCTTGCTCTTGCTTGCACTTGCTTGCCTACCTGCCTGCCTGCCTGCCTACTTGCTTGCTGGCTCGCTTGCTTGCTCGCGTGCTTGCTTGCTTGCTTTTGCTCTTGCTCTTGCTTTTGCTCTTGCTTTTGCTCTTGCTCTTGCTCTTGCTGTTGCTCTTGCTCTTGCTCTTGCTTTCTCTTGCCTGCTCTTGGTTACATTTGCTTGCTTCTGCCTGCTTTGCCTGCTTTATCCTGCTTGCCCGCAGGCTGCGACGAGGCCTGGTGTTGCGATGCCACGCTGGTCAGTCCAGCGCGCACGAGGATGTGCCGACATTGGTGCGCCAGCTAGCGTGCGTGCAAGCTGGGCACCTCCCGCACTTCGTCGTTTTGCGCACTCGAGTTCTGGCTCAGCGTTGTGGCGCAGAGGGCGTTTGCGAGCGCCGGCCCAGAGCGGTGGTTCCCGCCGCCACCCCCCGCGAGGGACAGGGTGCTCGCAAACTCAACACGCTCACATGACACTTGCTCAACTGGATGCTCGCAAACTCAACATGCTCAAATGACACTCGCTCAACTGGACTGGCCTGCCCCGAGCTCGCCCCTCCTCCCAGGCAGCAGGCGTGGCGCGGCCCGGTTTCACCACGTCTCGCGTGACTGTTTGGGGGGAAAACGCGCTGGGGACAAAAACGCATTTGCATGTTTTTGTTTTCCGCTCTTGGGCGTGGGGTTTGGCTTGGCCCGGACGAAGCACGATTCATGCAGTTGCTTTTCAGTCAAATGCAGCGTTTCTCGCTGCATTGACGCTTACCCACCGCAGATTGAGCAAATTCAGCAGCAACTCCTTTTTTGTTACTGTTGCTGTTGTTGTTGCGCAGCGCCATGGTTGCAAACAAATCCAATCATTGCTAGATTCTTGGTAGCTGGAGACGTCTGACGCTGGAGCACGGCAGTTTAGATGCATGAGTTCGGGCCTCACTTTTCGGAAGGCCAATGGTTCTGCAACACATGTGATGCGAGCGAAGGTTGGTTTGGATGGTTCGACTCGGGCGTAGCAGACGATGAGGTCCACGGTTTCAGTTTGTTCCGCTTCACATTCGAAAGTCAATAAATGCGTTCTTGCAGGCCACTCGGATAGCCCAGCTGGGGAATAAGAGGCGCGGGATTGCTGTTGGAACAGCGTCGCCAAAGAGTGTTCTCAGCATCTTGCAAGCGCAGGCGGCCTGGACGACCGACTCGGTCATCCAACCCATCCATTCCAAGTTGGAGCCTCAGCTTTGCAGTATGTTTCTTGCGCAACTGTGCCAAACCCAACCAAGTTGACTTGATGCACGTTAGGCCAGCCACGGTTGGCTTCTCAGATTGATCCACCACAGGCTTGTCCAAATTGCATGGATGTCAGGCCCCAGTACGACGCTAGCCCGACATTGGCGCGATCCTTGCAGGCCAAAGGCATAAATCACGGTGCAGGGGTGCAGCTTGATGCAGCCAGGCGGCCACCGTGCTTGGGTCTGAGTGGGTCGTGTGGACCAACACTTTGCATGTGCAAACGTCAGTGGTCTCAGCGCTGCAGGCCTGGACGCGCGCAAGCTGAACGTGTGTTTGTGCTGTGGCTGTGGCTCGGGCTGGCACATGTGGCTTTTGGAAAGGTACGTGTCTACGATCTGGGGAATACATTTCTGACCCGCTGGCCCAACATGTCTGCTGCCAAGCCTTGCGCAAGGCAATGTGGCCGTAAATCCACGCACAACCAAGGGTGGCAAAGGAGTATGGTGCATTTCACTCCGGTGTGGAAGTGTACGGAATGGAGTGGTAAGGCCCCTAGCAGTGACAATTCAAGCTGTGCGCAATATTGTCCAGGCTTCTTTGCAAGGCCACCATCCAGCCAAGTGAATTCATGCAATTGCAACACAACCATGCCCCACTGTGAGCCAGGATGGCTTGTGAACGCTTTCAGGTCCTTTGGGATGACGCCGGACAGCTGGTCTACGGGAGTTGCAGCAAATTTGCCTCCACCTCAACAGCCGAGTTACGAAACAGCATGCTTGCCTATCACTGTGAAGCATTGTGAAACTGGACGTGCTTCTCGAGGCCTGGGCATCATCCCGATCATCGCTTCCGCGAGACGCTGTCAATGGGCACCATACTTACGACAGTGTGGCATGTTCACTTGTGTGATGCACGTGGTGCATGCGTTGTTGGCCAGCTCAGGATGTACAAACCTCTCACAGGGACAGGCTATGTGCGGGGCATGGAACGAACGTTTGGATGGAGCAAGCGTTTTAGTATTGTGCAGCAAGCAACCCAACCGTTTGCCAATATAGCTCGCCCATCAGGGTCTTTGAAGCACCTTTTTGCATGCCTGGCAACTGCATATTACTGCTAGCCTCATAGCGCTTAACCGGTCTGCGTTGACACAAACCCGCAAATTGCTTGCAAACCATTCTTCCTGTGCCGGTGTCGAGCACCCTGCTGCCCCTGACTTCCCGTTCTTCAATGGCCATGCGTGCAAAGCTGAAGTTGCCAGGTAGCTGAAATCATCAAAGAAATGACCATCGAGTGGAAAGGACGTACCTACGATGCGCCCTGATGGCTGAAAAGCTGAGCCCGATTCTTTGCAAGGCATATTGGGTCGCACTTGCACGCAAGCAGCCCATGAAACTTGTGACAGGTATTGACGAGGAACTGCCATCATTTCTCGGACGATCGGGCCTTATTTGCAGCCAGTCCATGCAGTGCGGCCAGTGCACCGAGCAGGGTTTGAGGATGCAAGTGGAACAGGGCGTAGGGGGTCTTTCTTTGGTTGACGTGTTTGTCTTCAAGGAGCCCGGCATTTTGCGCAAAATTGCTGCAACCTAGGTTCCAACACAAGCTTGAGACACGATGCATGCTGATGTTGTTTGTCTAGGAGCTCTGTCGGAAGCTTGGTGTAGCGCCACTACCTTCTTGGGTGCACACCTTGGTCGCACGCACGTTGAACAACTGCGAGTTGCACCTCAGTTTGCCTGCCTTCAGGTCAACCAGCTTGCAGGCACCACTGCTTCAGCAGCCGACGTGTGGCAGCCCGAGAAGCTAGGTTTGCGCAAGAAACATGTTGTTTGTTGTGCTTGTGCCATATCATCGGCCACATTCTTAGCGGCAAGGTCAAGCAGTGCACGTGTGCTGGCATGGCAGGATTGAAGGAGTTTCAGCCAGCACAGGCAAGGTGGCTTCCGACTTGCAACAGCCCCAGCCAAGTCAGTTGCGCTTTAGCTTGTTGTCCAGCACTGCCGCAATTGGTTCCAATCTAGTTAGCATAGGGCTGCTCAGACCAAGGGCGTGGCTGGTGGGAAGTGCTGCTGGGGGTGTATACAGATTTGGCCTGAGCAGTTTTGAAATCCCTCAGCCTACGCAAGTGCCTTGCAGCACGTAGTTGCGACCCAGCGATTTACCCAAGGCCTTATGGCTCCAGCAGAGGTGCGTGAGGTGCGTTATATAGCCCAGGGGCCGGGGTGACATGATGGCTGCAATAAATACACAATTGCACAATCACACACACACACACACGAAAGCACACACACACACCACAAACACACAAACAAACAAACACACAAACGCACAAACGCACAAACGCACAAACACACAAACACACAAACACACAAACACAGAAACACAGAAACACAGAAACACAGAAGCACAGAGACACAGAGACACAGAGACACAGAGACACAGAAGCACAGAAGCACAGAAGCACAGAGACACAGAGACACAGAGACACAGAGACACAGAAACACAGAAACACAGAAACACAGAAACACAGAAACACAGAAACACAGAAACACACAAACACACAAACACACAAACACACAAACACACAAACACACAAACACACAAACACACAAACACACAAACACACAAACACACAAACACACAAACACACAAACACACAAACACACAAACACACAAACACACAAACACACAAACACACAACACACACAAACACAGAAACACACACAAACACAGAACACACACAAACACAGAACACACAAACACACAAACACACAAACACACAAACACACAAACACACAAACACACAAACACACAAACACACAAACACACAAACACACAAACACACAAACACACACACAAACAACACACAAACACACACTCAAACACACACACACACAAACACACAAACACACAAACACACAAAAACACAAACACACAAACACACAAACACACACACAAACACACAAACACACAAACACACAAACACACAAACACACAAACACACAAGCACGCCCACACGCCCACACACAAACACGCCCACACACACAAACACGCCCACACACAAACACGCCCACACACAAACACGCCCACACACAAACACGCCCACACACAAACACGCCCACACACACAAACACGCCCACACACACAAACACGCCCACACACACAAACACGCCCACACACACACACAAACACGCCCACACACACACAAACACGCCCACACACACAAACACGCCCACACACACAAACACGCCCACACACACAAACACGCCCACACACACAAACACGCCCACACACAAACACGCCCACACACAAACACGCCCACACACGCCCAAACACGCCCACACACGCCCAAACACGCCCACACACCCCCAAACACGCCCACACACGCCCAAACACGCCCACACACGCCCAAACACGCCCACACACGCCCAAACACGCCCACACACGCCCAAACACGCCCACACACGCCCAAACACGCCCCCACACGCCCAAACACGCCCCCACACGCCCACACACGCCCCAACACGCCCACACACGCCCCCACACGCGCACACACGCCCCGACACGCCCACACACGCCCCCACACGCCCACACACGCCCCCACACGCCACACGCCCACACACGCCCACACACGCCCACACACGCCCACACACGCCCACACACGCCCACACACGCCCACACACGCCCACACACGCCCACACACGCCCACACACGCCCACACACGCCCACACACGCCCACACACGCCCACACACGCCCCCACACACGCCCACACACACACACGCCCACACACCACACGCCACACACGCACACACGCACACACACGCACACACACGCACACACACACACACGCACACACGCACACACGCACACGCGCACACGCACACACGCACACGAGCGCACACGAGCGCACACGCAAACGCACACAAACGCAAACGCAAACGCGCAAACGCGCAAACGGCGCAGACACGCGCA